CTGCTCTATAGGGTCATTATTAGAAGTCATCCTACATCTGGAAACACATGAACAGTGGCGGTCGGTTTATATTTCAGCGTGAGATGTCTACCATAAAGGAGAAGTCAGGGTGCTGATTATTGAAATAATGATAATCATTTTGTAAGTCATTCCCTTTCAGTGAGGCTGCACTGGCCATAAGCCACTTATTTCCCTTTGAGCCCAGCCTCTTTCCTCTTCCCAGCAAAAGCAGCCTAACACACGTTTGCAGGTTTGATGCTGGAAGGGAGGGTCGGCTTTCCCCATACATAATCACGGTTTTATGGCTTTCACTCATTCCTGAGGTGTTAATGCAGATCAAATGGGAAACACTCAAGAAAGAACCCTTGCAGCTACTGCACTGCCTCACTCTCCCGTCTCAATCGTTAATTCTTATTGTAAGATCTAAAGGTAATTTTGTTTGCTCTCTTAATGCGATGTGGTTCTCCCAGTGGCCCTTGCATATCCTTTCTCAAATTCCCATCTTGATCAATTGTTTGCAAATAATTAAGCTTTTAAGAGATAATGGCATGAGGCTAATGTACACAACAAAGGTGAGGTCTCCAGTCACTGTCTATTGGACTGTGGTCAAATTTGCTTTGATACCCCAAAGTGGTTAGGTGGCTAGTGTAGCTGGCATGTGCAATTCATCTTTCCTTCACGAGAACCTACTGACCTTGCTTAAACTAGTGGCCTGGCCACTTAGACACAACAGCAGCAAAGGTGTCCAGGAAAATAGCAAGGGGTGACTCAGGCCCTACGTTGCAATGGTTTGGAATCAAGTTCCCATTTTCTTCCTAAAATGGCACTCCTCAAGGATCACTCTTTATCTCCTTTGCAAAATGACTGGCTGTCTTTGCCTGTAGAGCCCTTACCAGCCCTGTGGGTGGAACATAACAGGGCTTTGGATGTTTTTACAGCAGCCTTGCCTTTGGCATGTTGGTTTTTTGTCTTTTTTTTTTTTTTTTGAAGTCTACAAAGGAATATGGCAAAAAGCTTATCTAGTAAAGATGCATAGGGTTTAAGATATTAAAACATATTGGATTTCAGTTTGAAAAACACCTCTTTCTTTCGTGAGCTTTTGGCTGGCTGTGGATTAGTTTAGCTATATGAGGTCATAGCTTCATGTGATTCTAGCAATTAGAGATTTTTTGGGGAATTGAAAGTTTGTGGGACACCAAAGCCAAGAACTATTAGAAAAAGAAAAACCATTCAGATCATTGTGACACGTAATTTTGTCCAGGCTCACTCATTTCTATTAAATATATGTATATAAATATATATATCCTGAACAACTGAAAATTGCTTAATGGAGACAGAGTGCTGGGTCTCTGTAGCTTGAGGCTGCCTAGCAATTATGCTGCATGAAATTAGACACAGTTTGTTCCAATTACTTAAAATCAGATCACATGAAAAGTGACAGAGAAAAAAAAAAAAGGATAGAACTTTCTCATTTTATGATATTTAAATTATGAAATAAAAAAACTACATGATGTGAAGAAACAACATAAATTTGCACTGAAATTTCGGGGGCCATATTATCGTTCTTTGAAGCTGTAATGACTCAGGTAATTTTAAGAATTCAAAGAGAATTTCCCTGACACCACTTGCATAAATAAATTGTGAATTCCACTTGCTTTATAAGAATGTGTATAAAACTTGCTCAGAAACAGGCATGCAAAAATACTCTTGAAAACATAGAACAAATAAATTACTGTGACAATTCTCAATTTTCAAAGTAACCAAAGCTCAATGGCATAAATATTAATTCTTATCCAGTTCTGGTCCTAATATTAAGACACAACTAATAAGACAGAGCAAAAGGTATTTCCATCTAGCTATATTAAGGAGGGAATGTTGACATAGTGATTAAATCTGTTGAAAATCACTCAGAGATTTCAATAGGGCCTGGAAGACTATAAGTAAGATAATGTTACAGAAAATGTTATAGACGGGGCATGCTTGCGTATCTCAATCTACAACTTTATATGGTAAATAGTGCCACTAGCTGAATGCTCCAATTTGCATATTTTAAAACTCGGTTTCTATTCTAGTTGGATAATAATATAAGAACTGCTAGCTTGAGTCAACTTTAACTTCTATGGATCTTAGAATTTACATGGCAAAACTGAGGATTAGAAAAGTTGTCCTATGTTCAAAGTCACATAGTGAGTACCAGCATAAATGACACAGTTCAATAGAGTCATGTAAACCGACGTATGATTCATAAACTAGTGTGGGCATGGAACTACTATGGACCAAACCATAATTCAATATTCTGTTCATAGAATAAAAAGATTCATTTGGTTTTCACTGAGTGGCAAACCTTGATAGGGTGGAAGTTATGTTTTAAACCTTAGGATAATAAAACCAAACCAAACTCACTGCCGCCAAGTCGTTTCCAACTCATAGCGACCCCTCTTTGGGTTTCTGAGGCAGTTTCTCTATGGAAGTAGATTGCCCAGTCTTGTTTCCAAAGAGTGGCAGGTGGGTTTGAACTGCCAGCCTTGTGGTTAGCAGTCAAATGCCTTAGACACTGCACTACCAAAGCTCCCAACCTTAGGAACTTTAGGAACCTTAGGATAGTGGATTGCTTTTAGCTCAGTATACAATTATTTTGGTGGCTGTGATTGGCATTACCTTGATCAGGCTGATTGCCACATGATTTTATCTTAGTCTGAGGTTTGTTTATACGCTTTTATTTGAAAAGAGAGGGTTGACATCACTTTTAGAAATGAGTAAGGAAAGTTGTATAATAGATCTCAAATTGGATTGTTTATACTTCCCGTGGGCTTTGATAATTTTTTATTATAGATTTTGATGTTGTAGCTGAGTGAGGAGTATCTGTGTATCATAGCAAGTAATAGCCATTCATTCCATCAACAAATATTTACTAGTTTCTGGTTGTGTGCTAGTCTAGGTTTTGAGGATGGTGAGCAAGATAGGCAAGGGCTTTAGAGTTGTGCGGTTAATCACTCGGCTGCTAACTAGAAGTCTGGGAGTTTGAGTCCACCCAGAGGTGTCTTGGAAGAATGGTTATCTACTTCTGAAAATTCAGAGAATCTTGAGGACATTTCTACTCTGACACGTGTGGGATCTCCATGAATCAGAATCAACTCAACAGCAACAGATATTTTGGTTTAATTGAGTGGGGAGAGACCCACTGACACAAGGACATTATTTAAACAGGTATTTCAGGGAGTGATGCTTGCTATTAAGGAAGTAAGAGAAAGGTTGATGGGACAGTAATAAGGTGGGTAGTGGTCATCAAGCTAGGCAAAGTTTGATATTTGAGCAGAAACCTGACAGTGGCAAAGGAGAAAGAATCTGAATGATAGGAACAAATTTGGCATGTTGGAAGGACAGAAAGGACAGGGTGACTGGACATAGGTGTGGCATCGGGGTGAGGAGGAAGAGGTAAAATCTGAGAGGTGAGCAGAGCTAGATGATGAGGGGCCTTGAAAGCTGGAGTTTTTTGAGCAAAGGACACTAATAGGTATTATGAAAGCTGTTTGCCACTTCCTTCCATCACGGTGAGGCTTAAACACTGGAAGTGGACACAGGAAATGTCACTGACTCATGTCCTACTGCTGACCATCCCTTCCAATGACCAGTTTCCTCACCTGTAAAACAGGAGGCATGATAGATTCCATTTATGCCCCTTGAAGGGATATAATGGGGATTAATTGCTATCCTGTCTGTAATATACTTGGAGTTCTTCAGAGAAAGGCACTATATTCCATAAAAGAAAAGCCTTATTCTAATTGTGTATTTATTGATTAAGTGACAATCAAAGACAATGCTTATGGGAAAAATTGCTGTATCTCTGCTCTCCACAAACGAATCCCTTGTGCACAGATATAGAACATATTTAAACTTACATATAAGAGCACTGAAGTGGTCATTAACAAGCCTTTTTAGCATCTAATCAGACAGTATTAATGAGATTAAAAGCTACGTTAATTAGCTTTCAATAGACCAGAATTTACTTTCAATGGCACAGATAGTTAAGTTGAGGGTACCCTTTCCCATTCATAATAGAACAGAGGGTTGACTATCAGAACAACTTTATCTTGGGAGGGTTTACTGGGATGCTTTGTTTTAAGCTAGTCAATGTCTCCAAAAATGCGAATCATGTTCTCAATTCCTTCCTCAAGTTTTAGAATTGTGTATTTCAAATTTCCATGTAATTGGCTATTGAACAAAAAGTGTGCCAAAATTAATTACAGTAGAAATCTAAACCTTCAGGGAGATATGAGTTTCATTTTATTATCTTATCCTGTAATACTCTTTATCCACTGTAACTCATGAGGAACATAGCTGGCCTTGTTCTTGGCATGCAAAATATGCTGGTCTTTGACCTTATATTGGCCTGTGTTCAGAATCCCAGCATGTGTTGACATTCGGATGTGGAAACCAACTTTGGTTGAATTTTATTTGTGCTTTGGAGAAGAGCTAAATGAATAGTGTTTTGTTTTTTAAATATAGCTACTCTCCATTTTGATATTTTCATCTGGTAACATGGTATTTTGGAAGCAGAGGGTCACATTCACAAGGTGCTTAGCTACTGGGACCTCAGCTGAGATTGTTAGTTTAAATGGTTAAGTCCATGAGCCTATGAAAATATTAAGTCAGAGTGGTATGTTTTATAAGGTAAACCAAAAGGCTTCCTTTATTTTAATCCTATAAAATACACTAAGGATCATACTAAACTTTCTGTGTTTGCAACAAATAAACCTGTTAAAGGATAAACTCAGTATCAAGGTTCTGCAAGTATCCTAAGTAGCTATTTATACACTTCACTAATCTTTGTAATTGGCTTGTCTTTTACTGCCATTAATTAGATGATGTAGTATTCCATTAATAAGAGTGACACACCTCAGCATTTTTACCTTTAATTATAGACTTCACTAGACACTTAGGTTATTGACAAAATGGCCTGGATATTGTCTGATATACAACTATCTTTTTTGTTCTTTCAGCACCCTTACCCTTCTGAAGAACAGAAAAAGCAGTTGGCACAAGACACGGGACTCACCATCCTTCAAGTGAACAATTGGTAAGTAATTTGGCTTTGAGTTTAAACACAATGTTTTCCCCTCTGGCAACCTGCAGCTACTGTTTTGCATTAAGAGGACACACCCAGTTATTGCTTCTTCCCTGGTGGTTTGTTGATCCAAAGGTGAACACAAGCTATTGGCTGATAGCTGAGACACTTACTAGTAAAGAAAATATAACATTGTATAGCTTGCCACCTCCTTTCTAAATTGACAAATTTTGTACCTGGTATATGTTTGTAGCGGTCTACTTCTATAAAGACTACAGGCTTGGAAACCCCATGGGGTAGTTCTACTCTGTCCTATAGAGTAATTATGAGTTGGAACTGACTCAGTGGCAATGAGTTTGGGGTTTTCTTGGCTGTAGGTGTGTGTTTAACTCACATTCACTGTAGCTCTGTAGATGTATCTCTCTCTATGGCTCTTTTTGCTTTTTTTATTTTTTCTTTCTTTCAGGATAATTGATACACAGAGCAGTATCATCTTATTTTCTAGGAAACAAGAAAATCCACCATTCCATATCGTCAGGTTTTATATTCATTGAATAACTAAATTCAGTTAGATTTTGTCAGGGCTATGTATTCAAGGATGATCTCACTTTTTTGCTTATATTGAAAGGGAAAAATTATTTATGCTTCTACTATGAAGCCACTCAAACCCGGTGTACCTCAGGCCTGTGCAATACTGTTTGTAAATAAGTGTGTAAACTCTTGATTTTGGGGAAGCTACAATGATGCTCCAGCAAACAATATTCTGACTTAACATACAATGATGTGGCAACGAGGCTTCAAGAAAGTATGATTTATTACCCTTTGTGAGTGTGCTGAAAGCCAGCTTTCATGTAATCACCCATGGCTAGTGTCATATTTGAAGGGTATCGAAATCCAATATCCTCTAAACCTAAGTGTATCTAATTAATTGTCCTAATATTTTTAGATTAGTGTTTATGATGGGGAAACCTTATCCTCTTTGAAGTAAAATCCAGAAAAGGCCCAAAGCCTGGATCAGGAAAGGGGAGAGCTGGGAATGCCATTTTGCAGATAGAAGTATTTCTGTCTGTTCAATAAGTGTCAAAGATTAATATTACAGAATCTCTGATTACATGGCCTAATCCATTTTGGTGAATAAATTTGTTCTTGATGTCCATTGCACCTACATTAACAGACCCTTCTGTGTTAGAGAGCCTGGAAGCCTTTGGGAGAGATTTCAGATATATTATACCCCATTACAGAAAATGTAATTTCTGTCAATATAATCCCATGTATTCTCCAATTTAGTATTTTAGAGATAACAAGCTACTTACAATATATTTGCCTTTGGAGGATTAATTTACAAAGTGGACTATCTGCAAGACACAGACAGACTCACATAAGCATTGCTTGTAAGGGTTATCAATTTCTATGACCTTATTGCAGCCTTGGGAGATCAATTTTTGCAGCAGCCCTTTTAGTCAGTGGGTAGGGGGCCAACAGAAGGCTTACTCTATCTGCATGTGTTACCACGGTTTGTGTGGCTGCTGACATGTTTTTATTGTCTTGTTTTCACTTGCTGTTGTATCTTAATTTTCAAGTTAGTGAATATCACATATTTGAATTTAATCTTTCAAATTGTTCTAAATGATATTTAAAGTAGATCACATTTGGATGATGGGCTCAGGCATAGCAAGGATTGTGAGAACGAAACCAGGCAGTGTTTCATTCTGTTGTACATGGGGTTGCTATGACTCAGAGCCGACTTGATGGCACTGCAAAAACGGCAAGGAGGCCACATGTTCTGACCTCCTCTAATCTCACAAGAGGAAGACAGGATTACCAGCAGTAACCCAAGGCCTATTACTGCAAGGCCAAACATGCTGCCTCCCTCCAGTCCTTTCACCAACCGTTCTTCCCAGAGCATCCACCACCTCTCTCCTGGGTTCGATAATTCGCTGCAGTGGCCACACAGAACTCACAGATTATGGGGTTTATTAGGGAAGCACCAAGCTACAACTCAAGTTCAGGAAGAACGCTCAGTCTCTCTCCCAGCCCACCGTCCCTCAGCCAAGAGTCTCTCACAGTCTCTTTTCCAGCAGTGCTAGTCCCTCGCTGTCTCACTCAGCAATGTGTGTCTCTTGCGTCTCTTTCCCAGCAACGCGTGTCTCAGGAGCCCGTGTCTCTTTCAGCAGCACGTCTTCCTCAACCAGCAGTCAGAGAGAGTTCTGCCTCCAGGAGGCCTCCTTTTTGAGCCCGGCAGGGTGGTCAAACTAGCCAATTATAGCATCAGAACTCTAAGCACCTGAGAGAGTGGGCACCTCCCAGAACATTGTTATGTGCCACTCCCAACAGAAATACTCCAGGTGGACACCTTCAGCAATCAGGAGCTCCTCAGTTGCTCATAGCAAATCCCACCTTGGAGTTTACAAAGACTTATGGGTAGAAAAGCCACACAAAGTAATTTACTATACCACAGGCACCTAACAAGAACAAACAACAATGTTTAGACGCACATCTAAATTAGTGGTCTTTTTTTAACAACAACAAAAAACTTAAACTGAAGGTGAGGTGATTTAAACACAATCAAGAGGCTATACAAATGTTGCATTTCCTTGGGAAAGGAGGCACAGGAGAGGCAGGGTGAGCTCTCTAATGAGGGAAGCAGAGGCTCTGATGCCCACCAGGTGATGTATCCCACATGCCATCTCTCTTCCTCCTCAGTGTTGCTAGCAAACTCCATCCATAAACACCATTACCACAGAATACAGTCCAATACAAGTGGCTTTCTATGGGTGGACAACCTTATGGTACATTTCTTGTGAATGTAGAGGCAGCAAAAAGGTCCTGTGAGAGGAAAAGTTTACATTTGTTGCTATTCTAGACTCTGCAAAATCTGTATTGAAGGTATGCTGTTCTTAGTTAGTGATCACAATCCTACTTTAGTTTGTAGTTAAAAGTGGAGGGGAGATGATCTTTAAAAAAGTTATAATCATAACACCTATTAAATAACTCAAAGTATATAGAGACATTGTCCTAAACAGCATACCCACTGCCATCAGATGGATTATGATGACTAAACAACATACGGATATTCAATTCTGAACAGGCATGTTGTTGTTGTTATGCACCGTCAAGTCGTCTACGACTCATGGCGACCCCTCCTTGGGTTTCCAAGGCAGTATCACTATGGAAATAGATTGCCCAACCTTCCTTCCAAGGAGTGGCTGGTGGGTTTGAACCACCAGCCTTCTGGTTAGCAGTCAAGTGCCTTAGGCACTATGCCACCTGAACAGGCATATAAATTAAAAATTAGTTTTACATTACTTGGGATAGAAACATAATTCTATTTCTTAACTGGCACCTTGTGTTCTCTGTACTTCTGTGTGGAGTTAGAAGTGACTTTTGTTCGCACTTCATTGCTTTGCGTTTGACAACTGTCTCAACTCGATTTCCCTGAAGTAACTAGGAATTTTAATAGAGGTTGGTTTTTCTTAACTTTGATGAAAAATGACATTCGCATATTTGATTTGAGTTTTTAAAGATTTATTAATTCTCATCCGGACCTTTTACTTTTAAGGAACTGTTCATACATTTATTAAGTAGGAAATATGCAAAAATGGGGAAAGCCAGACAGCACCGGCATAGAAACCAAACTGTCAAGAGAATCTTAAAATGTGATGACACATTTAAGACTGAAAAGCAGAATACACATTGAGTGATTTTGCTTTTCCTTTATTGTAATAAGAAATTACATGAAGCTTCTTTGAGAGCTTGTAATCATTTTTCCCGTATTAAATACTAGCCTGAGTTACTTTCTTCTAGAAATAACAAACAAACAAACAAACAAACAAAACCCTCATTCGTATTTTAGCAGTTTTCCTTCATCTCATTTAGCCACAACTTTTTTTTTTTTTTTAATTCATTCTTCTTCCTTGGGTTTCTTAGAACTTGTTAACACACATGTACATTTTTGTATGAACTCTGAGTCACCATAAGTCACTGTTGGAGTAATTTAATAAAATGCCGAAGGGTAGGCTGGGTGTAGATCAGTCATAATTATTGGCAGCAACATACCATATTGAAATGCACAATATGTAACTGAAAAATATAAACTCATGTCTGGTTGTTAGCTTGTCATAGAAACCTTGGCTGACCTAACTGTAACTTAGGTTTGGATTGGAAGTGGGAGAAGTGTGAGGCTTATCACTGTTCTTTCGCTCTATCCCTAAACTAATTTTACTCTTCTTTAATTGACATATAAGTGATATGTGCTACCAGCCCTGGCTGACTATTCCTACAGAAAATGGAGCCAGAAGGTAGGGGGTTGGGGGTGAAAGTATACTAGGGGGAATTTAAACGTAGAACAAGAAAACCAATTTGATTATTCAAGAGAAAGTTTGAAATAAAACAAATAATTGTTTTAACTCTTATATTTGGCCTAATTGTCAGAATGAAAGCAGAAAGAGGAACCTTTAAATGGTTGGTGTTCATAGTTATAGGGTTTGGGACCTCAGACAGGATGTGAAACTTATTAGATGAGACATCTTCTGTTGAGTCTTTGCCAATAAATTACTTGAGAATTGAGGCAATTATACAAATAATTTGGGTAAAATATTTTTACCTAAATTATCTAAATATTTGAGGTAAATATATGTTTTTTAAAGTATTGACTTCCATACCCAGTTGCCTAAATATTTCAGTCTAGCATGCTGGCGGTAGATTTAGGCTTAACGTGTAATCACGTTTGAAGTGTAATGTCATAAATTTATGTATTCTTCCTCCTTTGCTCTCTCATTTCCAATTATAATTTGATCTCAAATGATAAATAATAACATTTAGGGCTTTTGTCTTTTTAGTTTTTCATTGTTGTTTTGTGACAAACATTCCTATTACATCCACAGTGAAAATACATTCATATGTTGAATTTTTTCATCATATGAGTAGAAACTTAAAATTTGGGGATTAGATGGTTATATAGGTCTTTAAATATTGAGGTTGAACTTTTTAAAAAAAAAAACATACACATCCTG